ACATATAAGTTTAAAACATGGTTATCCTGAATGTGTTTTTTGCGGTTACAATAGAACAGTGACTAGAGATGGAAGAGATTGTATTTCATGTAATAATACAATATGTGAATGTAACACTAATGAAATACAAAGTAATGATTAAAAAGGTTTATTTATAGTATTATATTACATTATTATTTTGTTATTTATTGCTATAATAATTTTATAGTGGATAGAGACATAAATGGTACATTACTACATGTTATGTACTGTTTTCCCTGCCCTAAGAATACTTATCCATCTTTGGATGGGTCTAAATGTTTATCCTGTGATGATTTTGAATATGAGTATTACATAAATTACATATATTTATCAAAATATTACACATGGATATATAATCATTGTTTATATACAAATATCTTACCAAATGATCAATATCCAAACATTACAGATGTAATAAAATATAAAAATCAGAATGTCAATGATGACAATTATTTTAGAAAACAAATAGAAACTGCATTATATTTATGTAAGGTAAGCATAAAAACAATGTAGTATGATAGAAAAGTATTTAATAAAATGTATTTTTTAGCGGAAACATAGATCAGCATGTGAACACTTATCAAATTTGTGTGCTTTGAGCTTCTATAATAATAAAATTGCTTGTGCATTATTTGTACAAATACAAACAACACATGTATGGTTGTTTTATAATAAGAATGAAACTGCATCAGTACTAAATAGCAAAAAGATTACTCAAAAATATAGTTTATCAAGAAATAGTAATGTATGTAACATACATCATTTAACACTAGTACAACCAAACCCATCATAATAAAGAATTTTAAATTTCTTGTTTTATATTGTACTTACTTAAAGTTCTGTATGTAGGATATTTCAATACTTTATCAGTCAATATGTTGTTTGTTCTAGTGTTGAAAATATTTCAATTAAATATGATATATTCATATATTATATTTCTTTTAGGATAATTTATTGAATTTTACAGTTGCAACATTTTCTTTATATGGTAATCTGAAATCGTTTGATACACCTGACATGCCTTGTAACTTATTAAAAAATGTTCAATTTGGTGTAAACTATAAGAAAAAATGTAAACTCAGAATCAAAGATTTATTGTCCGCAGAAATGGAATTTATATCTCCCTACTTAACATTTATAGAAAATAAAAATGTGTTAACGCATACATTGCCCGTGCTTATCAAAAATATGAATCGAGTAAGTAAATAATTAGAAAAATATAGTGAAATAATAATTAAATTTGTTAAACACGTAATGCTGTGAACTTATTACTTTGAAATTTCAGAATACTAATGATATATTACAATGGCAATTAGTGCGAAAATTTTTTCTTATTGATAACATTAGTGGCTATAAAACAGTACGTTATATGAAATCTCTAAATATTATGTAAGTTATTCAAACTACTTTAATATTCTTAACATCTAATACGTACTGAACTTAAAATTTATAATTTTTGCAGTGTTAATGTTCAAAGTTCAGAAGCTAGAGATAAAATATTTCCACCTTTATTTATTGTTGAATATACTGACATAACACAGGAACAAATCAGTAAAAATACTGATATTACACTGAATTATAAAATTAAATTTGTTCTAAAAAACAACAGTATTAGCTTTATTTTTAAGGTAAAAATTATATTAACAAAGTTTTTGTATATAATTATAATTATAAATGTATAATGATACATAAAATATTTTTGTAGATAATCATAGGAATTTTCTTAGGATTAGCTATAAGCTTCTCCGCTATAAAAACATGGAATCACAATAAACAACACTGTATTGTTTTTTCATATATAAAAACACTGTTTTGGTTATTTATTTATGCTGTGGGTACTGCAGGTACAACGATTATTATAAGTTTAATCAGCTTATGTATATACATATTTATATTTTATAAAGGGCAAACAACACCATACATAATATTCTCTGATGATATTAGTGAAAGCATCATTATAGCATTCACTGCAATAGCATTTCTTTTTAAAGTGAGTACTTTATTATACAATAAAATAATTCTATAATTATTATAAATTAATCATTTGTCATTTTTTTATTTAGCTTGTAGAAATATTTGGTTTTATTTGTCAATGCTGGAATCTGAAAATATTTTTCATTGATTGGGAACAACCAAAAACTGCAATTAATCAGTTTAAATATGATCGTTCATATATTCCTTTACATAAACTACATACAAACAAATATTCAAAACATAAACAAAAACCTTTCCCAATACTAAAAGATCTAACAACCAGTAAACAAAAGAAATCATTAAATACATTAGACAAATATACTAACAATACATTTAATAAAGATGGAGGTAATTTTCCAGCTGTATATTCATTATCAGAAGATTCTATAGAAGAAGTAAATGAACAAAATAATTTACATGACTTATCTATCAGTATTTGGAGAACATATTATATTGCCAATTGTTGGCTAAATCTTCAAACAATACGAAAAATAAATATTATAGTACAGTTATTTATTGTTTTAAGTGTATTTCAGGTAAATAGGAATTGCATTGAAGTAATAATTTACAATTGAATTTTATTTAATTTTTATATTTCAAGTAGATCATACAACTATATCCATGGATTCTTGCAATACCTGAAATACCATCAAATTTTTCCGATGAGGATAATAATTTTATTTTGTATTATACAGTGTGTATTTTGATGTACGTTATAATATATTGCATTCAATGGTTATTATACATTGGATTTTATGAATGTTGCGTAACAAGTAAAATGCAAGAATTTATAAATTTATGTTCTAATGTAAATATCAGCCTACTTATTTTACCATACAATTATTATGGTTTTTATATCCATGGAAGGTAATGTGTATATAGTAGCTATATTTGGAATGTAGTACCTTTAATTAACTATTACTATTTGTTTATAACAGGTCTGTGCATGGAGTTGCAGATATAGATTTGACTACTTTAATGAATAATTTAAAAAGAGAAAAGAACAACTTGTGTGCATGTAAAGGTCTCTTACCTGGAACAATTGAACAAACATTCATACTGTCATTAACAAAGGCATTCAGAATTGTTTTAACAGATTTTTCAAAACAAACAAAAGTCGTATGTGTTATTATTATTATGTGTATTATAGTTTAGTTTTCAAAAGTATATTAAATATTGTAATGCTTCTATATTTTCAGAACTTAAATAGTTTCTTAAAAACAAATTATACATCTAACAAAAACTGGGAACAAATTTTTCATGCACAAATTAAATTGAAACAGTTTTTATGTAAATTTATAGATCATTGTTTCAAAGATATGGATTACATTATTAAAGATCAACAATTTTATGAAAAATTGTGCAACTTTAGGTTTTCTTGCAATGAAGAAAAGTCAGTTTTTTACATTGGTAATGTTTTTAATTTGTATGTCAATATAAAGGTGTTTTATCAATTATGTAATTTAAATTTTTTTCACAGATAATAATCATTCATTCGATCAAGTATTACTTTATGGGAATGAATGGTTAATAGCTACATTCGAGTTATCAGTATTTGCTTTTATGATAATTCTGTTGAAAGACTGTGTATTAGCGATAACAATTACTGTATTAATATCTATGTTGCTATTCCTAATCGCTAAATATAATGGGAGAAAAATTTTAATTAATAATGTACTACTAGATAAAACATTTTTAATGTAATAATACTAAAATATCAAATAGAAAAAACAATTATATTCTGAAGTATAATTTATTTTATAAGATACAATTTATACTACAATAAGAATGTTATTTTTATGTTATTATATGTATATGTAGTTCATTTTTCTAAAGCAAATTAATGATGACCGCCTTCATGGTCACCACCTCCATGGTGACCATCTCCATGGTGACTGTTATAATCAATTCCAAAATATTTTTCTATCCCTATTGTTATTAAAAATGCTGCGAACCCTAATGCCATACCTCTAGTATTAGCAATTAATAATTGTTTCTTCCTAGGTATTCTTGAGTTTTGATAACGCCAGACTTCATTTCTTAGCCAAGGATCTTTTAATCCTTGTTTTGCTAATTCATCTTGAACTGCTTTAAGTTTTGGACAATTTTCCACCTTATATATATCAGGGCTTGGAATTTCTGGAAGTGGTCCATGTCCATGACCCATTTTCTGCAATTAATTCATATAATGCAAATTTCGTTTAGATTATTTGAATTAAATTATATACATAATATTATATTCTTATATTAATTATATTATTATATTAAACAAATAATTAATATATTTAACATTGTACTGCATTTAAAATTTTCATATTAATAAAATAAGGTATAGAAAAAATAACAAATAATGAACAAAAATTATTAAAAATAACTAAGATTATTAAACAGAAACAATCAAAATATTTATATAATTATTATAAGTTTAAAGAAATATTTATATCAGCGATACTGTAAATTTTGAATATTGAGGTTAGTTTAATATATGTGCTCTATATCAAAGCTATATATTAGTATTATAATATTACTATAGTAAACTGTTTAATCTAGAATAAGTATGTTGACATAAAATGAAATATCTTACACACTAAACAGATCGAAAATTATCGAAGAGCGTAACAATCACAAGTCACTTTACTTTTGGTAATATGATACGTACTACGTGATACGAACGTATATATGCTTTTATTCTATTAAGGTATATATATTTGAATTTGTTTACAGTTGGATTAATAAAAATGTTTATATTTAATATGAATTGTTTATCATCATTATTATAAATAAATGGTATCGATTTTACTATTGATTTTGTAACGTATTATTGTAAACTTACTACCAAATATAAAAATATACTAATTTTTTCATGAAATCAGTCTACACAGAAATTAAAAAATTAATATTTTTGTATGTACACATAAATCCTACATAAACACATTAATTAAATTTGATTTGAAATGCGCACATAACGTATCACCTAGGTATTTACGTGCTTACTATTAGATATTAGTGGTATAAATTTCTGTTAAAATCTATATTACTAAAAAGTATCTACTTTTCTAATTGTCTATACAATTTGATAAAATATTTTCATTCTACATTTATAACAATGTGTATCAATTAAAAAATCTTTATTATAATTTTTCATTTTCTTCAACTACTTTATTGGGGATTTGTAGTATAGTAATGGAATAACAAAAATATTTTTAGTAGAAAAATTATTTTTACAATAAGAAGATTTAAAAATTATGTACATATTTTGTTTATTCAACTGTTTATTTTAACTTTATAATTACGTCGCTAGGTGGGTGTTCCTTCAAGTGTACTATTTTACGTAGATGTTTCACCATCTGTTTTTCAAAGCCTACCCTTCGTACTAGCTTCGAACTGAGCGTTTCGATTGGAGAATCACGTTCGTCCTTTCTTACTATTTCCGCATTGAAAATTTTCCAAGTTGACGTTGAATAGCGACTAACTAGCCTAATTTGGTTGATTTTCCTTGTACACAATGTTCCATCATAAATATGACAATAGACGAGCAATTTAAGTGATTCATAGAAAAAATATACTTGTAAGATACATAATTATGTGACTAAATGTGAGAGATTGTAGTGTAAAAAAAAATGTTTCATCACGAATATGAGAAACGGCTGTTGAAGTCGAACAGCGAGAGCCATATAGATAATCTGGCAGGTTCCGGACTCTATACATCAGCATACTTTTCACCAACTAAAATGGTGAATAATAGTTTTGATCGATTTATACCAACAAGATCTGGCAATAATTGGCAGACAACATTTTCAATGATATCAGAAAACAATCGAAATGGCATAGTCACAAAAAAAGCTCGTGAGAATGGGGAAGGTAGTCGTGATGGTATTGCCTATTCCTGCCTTTTGAAAAATGAATTACTTGGAGCAACTATAGAAGATGTAAAAGGACAATGTGAAGAACGCAGAGTACTTTCACCACTAGTTACCAAAAATCTTTTTAAATATACAACACCCACAAAAGATCATACATTATTAGATCAGAGTTTACCTTATTCTCTATCACCACTGAGCGCTAAAAGCCAGAAACTTTTAAAATCTCCTAGGAAGGCAACTAGAAAGATTTCAAGAATACCTTTTAAAGTACTCGATGCTCCAGAATTACAAGATGATTTTTATTTAAATCTTGTTGATTGGTCATCTCAAAATGTTCTCAGTGTTGGTTTAGGTAGCTGTGTCTATTTATGGTCTGCATGTACAAGTCAGGTGACTAGATTGTGTGATCTGACTAGCGATGGAAATAGTGTAACATCAGTTGCTTGGAATGAGAGAGGAAATTTAGTTGCAGTTGGCACTCACCTAGGCTACATCCAAGTCTGGGATGTAGCTGTAAGCAAACAAGTAAGCAAGTTGCAAGGACACAGTGCAAGAGTTGGAGCGCTAGCTTGGAATGGTGAAGTTTTATCATCTGGCAGCAGAGACAGGTTAATATTACAAAGAGATGTTAGAACTCCTAGTGTCGTTAATGAAAGACGTTTAGGAGCACACAGACAAGAAGTCTGTGGACTTAAATGGTCTCCAGATAATCAATATTTAGCCTCTGGTGGTAATGACAATCGACTTTACGTATGGAACCTACATTCCCTTTCACCCATACAAACTTACACAGAACATCTAGCAGCCGTTAAAGCTATTGCATGGTCTCCTCATCATCATGGCCTATTAGCTTCTGGAGGAGGAACAGCTGATAGGTGCATCAGATTTTGGAACACGTTAACTGGTCAACCGATGCAATGTGTTGACACTGGATCCCAAGTTTGTAATTTAGCTTGGAGTAAACATAGTTCAGAACTAGTCAGTACACATGGCTACTCTCAAAATCAAATTTTGGTTTGGAAGTACCCTAGTTTAACACAAGTCGCAAAATTAACTGGACATTCATACAGAGTGTTGTATTTAGCAATGTCACCGGATGGTGAAGCTATTGTAACTGGTGCCGGTGATGAAACCTTACGTTTTTGGAATGTGTTTAGTAAAGCACGCAGTCAAAAAGAAAATAAGTCTGTATTGAATCTTTTCACTAGTATTCGATAAATATGATAAATTTCTGTAAAAGGACAATGGTTTTATGTATAACATACATATATTTTATGTATAATACATATTGAGTGCAAGTGCATATGTGTGCAAGCACACATGACACACTATATACACAAAACACATACGCGTATATATATATATACACACTACAAATGCACGAATATAGTATTTTAAAAAATTATAAAGTATGCAATATATATCTATAGATAATTTACAAATAAGAATTGGTGAAATTTATAGATTAAGTTTATAAATGCACAATTTACATTTATAGAATCCTATGTGCAATAAGTTATTATTTGTAGAGGATAAATATGCCCTTATAAGGAGAATTAAAAACAATATTATTTTTATATATTTTTTTATATAAATATTTTTATACACAACATACTCGTATTTCGTAACAGTTTATAGGAAGTCTGATAAATACAGTATATACTTTTATGAAATATTTTCTTTCATGTTTTATTTTGATTGTATTGCATTGATTAACTAAAGAAAACGACAAATTGTATATTTATATTGTTTTTACTGTAACAAAATTAATGAAATGTCATATGTCAGTATATTTAATGCAATAATATTATTGTACAGTGCTGTTCATGAATTATGAATAACTTCATTTACTCTGTTTCCATTTACTACATAAGTATGTTTGCCTTAAATGTAACGATGCCTGCAACAGAGATTGAGAAAGAAACGAATTAAAAATTTTTATTCATGAGAAGCACTAATAAAATTCCTTTCAAGGGCGTATTATTCTTTTTATGTAAGATTTCAAAACATTTAGTCACTGTCTAATACAGGCTGATTCAATTTCAAAATGATCATGCAAATCCTTAAAGACTATTTTTTTTAACTCTTGTAAGCACATTAACTTCTTAAGAGTTAGAATATTTCTTTTTCTAAGCAATTTGTATTATTTTATATTTTACAATAAGTAAAGTGTACAAATAATTTGAAATATGACTTATAAAATAAATTCCTTTATTTATGTAGAAATAAAAATAATATATTCACATTTTTAATTATACATTTAAAAAATTGATGCTGTAATTAATAAAAATAATGTGCAAGTTCTTGTAAACTAAAGTCTAAAATTTATATTGATGTAACTAAATATAACTAATTTATAGTTCACAAAATTATGTACAATTTATTTTTCAAAAATTTTTAAACTTCTAAATCATGTAGAAAATAAATATATTCTGAAATT